TAAAGTAAAACAACATAAGTACAGTTCGGAAAGAAACACGGGGGATTAGTGAAGGTGTAGTATAAACGAAAACTATAATAAAATACAAATATTAACAATTCAAATGTAGTCAAAAAGTCAACAATGTACAACTAAGAGGACTGTGGAGATATGACTGCAAGTATATACATGGAGGGATTTTCACAAACACACAAGGCATTCAAAATGGATCTTACAGTAAGCACATGGTGATTATTAGCATATAGTTGTGGATATTATTAATTTCTTGGTTGAGATTGAGGAGTCATAAAATAGAACGAAACGATCGTCCAGTGCTTCCTGGTTTTTAATGGTTGTCTAACACAAATCGACTCAAGACTTCAGTGAAAAACTTAATATTCTGCGCAACATTATACTGATATTGTGATTTTAGCGACTGTTTAACGGATTTACTACTTAAATGTCCGTATTTGATTGCAGTTTAATGCTCGTTTACCTCATATCTTATTTTTTAGCTAACCATTAACATATCACCTTATTACAACGCTATACAATATTTGATGAGAATACGTTTCATGCCTTCGATTATGGACCAATAATCTAGTAACCGGAGGTATGTTGATACATGGTGAAAATCTGACATCAGTCAACTGATCTCAATTAGGGTGATTCATTATATTTATAAAAATTGACTGTTTCCAGTGAGTAAATAGACAGCCAGTTGTTCTATGAATAAAACTAGATATATGAACACACCTAAAAATTCATAAAATGAGCCCAACTATTACATGTGAATACCTAGCAAGGAAAGCACGTATACATTACGGTTAGTTTGTTTAGAATACTACACCATCCAATAACTGAGATATAAACCAGGACTAATGTAGTTGAACGACCGAACTACTTACTCTGAATGATATAAAAAGCTTAGGACTGCGTTGTAGTGCTAAGAATCTAGAGTGAATGAGTTCAGTGACTTAAAGTAGTTTGTTCTTAATGTTACTGAGATTGCTTATTGAACTTTAAATAAAGCGACCTTGTCGAGGTTACAGATTTAAGTTATATTACAAGTTAGCGTCCTCATTACTTATGATTTAACTATGCCTCTATATATCTCAGTCACTATTATTGCTAACTTGATTGGCTAATTTAATTGTCAAGTAATATATTGTCTTATTTTCTTTCGTTTAATGGTCTTAAAACCGAAATTACTTCAAATTTCAAAAATGTACCCGAGCTCCCAATTTTGTGGAAAATTTGACCCATTTTGGGGAAATTTTGAGGAAATTGCACAAAAACCCTGAGAGTTTCCCAAACTTGGGAGCTCGGGTATCCCTGATCTAATCTGGCTAGCGATTGCGGTTGATGTTGGGCACGGCGTTACCACACGTGATCTGGTGCGGATGCCTGACCGACCGCCTTCAGCTAGATGAGTCCACTAAAACATATGGTCAGCATCCAATGTCGAAAACTTAGAGCTATTTATTTTGGGGATTTATTTACCGCTACAGATTCACTGAATATATTGCGTATTCGTGACACACATGAAGAGAAAATGCCTCTTAATTTCTTCTTATCAATATACATATATACAACATTATCCCTAAAACTTACAAATTAGGTGTGTTAATTATTTAAAGATACCACAGATACTCGGGATTTTGAAAACGGCTTTGCCCGTAACACCGTAATCAAAGAATGTCGACTCGGTCAAACCAGAAGTCGGAAATGAAGTAGTCCGGAGATATATTTGGAAGGTTATTATATGTGGGGAAGCGTTTGCTCTAAGCTGGCTAGAAGTTTCGAGGGATGCGTAGCATAGTGTGCCCACTTGAAACTTGGTGTGGATGCATGATCGAGTGGCTTCAGCTAGGGCGTGTTCAGTAAAACTAATGAGGTCATCAACAATGTCGACGTTTTACAGGACTAACTATTTCAGGTATTCATGTACCGCCATACATTTGTCAGTAGTTTACAAGTCGGCCGCAAAATTGTTCATAGCACTAAGATCTAAACTCTAAATTTTTTTAAGAGACACAGATAGTCATTTATCAGTTCATCTTTCATTCTTTTTTGAGATCATCGATTGATTTACGACTATTTCATATCATCTTTGAGCTTTTCATATACGAGTTACTGGATCAAGGAAATGTAATTAATGGTTCCATATTTATTTGTTACCTTAACTTTGTATGCCTACGTAAGTCAGTGGACTAAGAATTTTGTTTGTCATTAATAATATAGTAAGGCGTGTGTTTATGGTAATACACTACGGTGATATTACAGTGTCATACATGTTTTCATACCGAGTAATCGATTCTTGGAACCTGTTGCGCAAAGAAGTGCTATCTGCCCCTTCAACTGACTCATTCAAGAGAATACTAGACACTCTTAGAAACTTACTAGAAAAGGACTAACACAGGCTTTAGACCTTATATCCCCAATATACAAACCTGAAGCCTGAATACGACGTAATATATAAAGCCGTAAGCTCCTCTCAATTCTTGAAATCAGATCCTTTCATCCTATTCTACTGAGAGTTGAAAGACAACATAGACATTATGTGGTGAAAACTGTCCAAATTGTCTTAGACATGGGCGCAGTTGCTAACTAACGATATTGGACGATGTCACAATTTATCTGTAATTAAGAATAGAAAGATATACTATTAGGTTTCGGTTAAGTGATTAAAAGGCTCCATAATTACTACGAAACTTTGAGAAGTGGGATTTGGTGGGTGGTTGGTTTTTGTCCAGCCCTACATCGGAATCCTTATAAGGTCTAAAAACCTTTTCATGTTTTCCTGACTTTTAACGAATCCTAAGGTGATATTAATCAGGAAGCAAGCCAAACTGAATTTCCAGGCAACATTTTAATTGAGCAATATCAAAAACAACGTTAATTCATCATCTCAAGAGGATACCTTAGGTGAGTTGGAAAAGTTAAGTTGATGATTAAACACCTATTTTAGGCATACTAAATAGTGTGATATTTTATCCCACATGTTCCACTTTCACGATAGAAACTATCAGTAGAATTTATTTGCCTGAAATATAAGGTTAGTAGCGTCACCCACCTACTCTTAAGCTCTGCTATTTTTGTCTGCTCTTACTGTTTGAAAGTTCCCGAAATCAAACTCACCACTATCTATGTTTTTATCAATGTAGTTGTGTTTATCCCGGAGGTTTGTTCATAACATCTAGGTGCAATATCCATTTCAAAGAAAACGTAAGCGTTGATTTAACAAGTTCACATGTCTCTAAGACAGTCCAGACTGCCCAAAGATTGGAAAGACGCAATAATAAGTCCAGTGTATAAGGCTGGGAGTAGGGATTTAGTTAGTAACTATAGACCCGTTAGCTTAACTAGTGCAGTCGTAAAACTGATGGAAAAAATCATTCGGATGTCTGTTATAAACTATGTTGAAGAGCATAACCTTTTCTCCAGGGAACAACATGGTTTTTGGAGAGGCCTATCATGTTTGACAAATCTCATTGCAAGAGAAGATTGGGCTGCTGCAAAAGATCGGAATATTCCTGTGGATGTGATCTTCATAGATCTAAGTAAGGCCTTCGATATTCTCCCATTTCGGTCTTAAATTTAAACTGGAACGTTTTGGAATCCGTTATACAGTCGTAGATTGGATTAGTAACTTTCTTCGTGATAGGAGACGAAGGGTAAGGGTAAATGGGGCTCTCTTCTCGTGGGAACCTGCAAAAAGTGGAGTTCCCCAAGGTACAATTCTTTGTCCCCTTCTCTTTTTACTTTATGTAAATGAATTACCAACTATAAAGAAATCATACGTTCTACTCTTCGCTGATGACATAAAAATTTGGAGACCCATACACAGTATATCGGATAAGATATTATTACAGGATGACCTTAGCTCATTAGTGGCATGGTTGGACAGGTGGTCACTAGAAGTAAATCCTAATAAGAGTGTAGTAATGCAATTAAATAACTATGATGAATCGTATCATCATACAATATTTGGATTCGTGCTACTCAAAGTAAGAAACTATAAAGATTTAGGAGTCATATTAAGCAGTGATCTCAAAACCACTAGTCATTGTAAGGCTGCTGCTGCGAAAGACTATAGGGTATTATGGTCTATTCGTAGGTCTTTCCAGTATTTAGATGATGAAATGTTTAGATTATTATACCCGATTTATGTGCGATCACATTTAGAATATGGGATTCAAGCAACGAGTCCTTGTTTCAAGTATGAAGCAGAGATGCTGGAAAGAGTCCAACGACGAGGTACTAGAACGGTACAAGGTCTATCTGGCCTATCTTATGAAGACAGACTGAGACACCTTAACTTATTTCCGTTATCTTACCGTAGAGTACGGGGTGGTCTAATATTGGCTTATCGTATACTGAGCGATGGCCTTGGTATTAACATGTCTTATCTTTTACTTCCATCTATGACTGATCATTTGAGAGGACATTCGAAGAAAGTTCAAAAACTGAGATCAAATCGTTTACGTCTGGAGCTTTGTTTCTCGCACCGAGTAGTGAATTACTGGAATTTTCTACCGGAACACGTAATATCAGCACATTCTGTTAATATATTCAAAACGAGATTGAACCTCTACAGTATTACAAACTTCAAGGATTAATATAGGTCAACAGACCTCCTATCCTTATTACTAAAGACTGAATTTGGGAAAGATAAAGGGCTAAAAGCGCTTAATGTATTCTTCTCGCTCAAGGTAGGATGACTTAATCGCCATTAATGATTTCAAATTTCGTAACAAAAAACAAAGTAAGCGGCATGATTTTATTTTGCAAATACTGTAAATTTACTCAAAAAATGAATTTAACGCAAATATTAACTCTTCAGTTATCATTTGTGAAGTAATAAAACGTTTCGCATTTTCTATTTGTAGTTTTAATAAAAATTGGCCAGGTAAATAAAGAAGACAAACTTTATCATGCACTTCCGAAGAAAACTATTTTTCAATTTTCGCCTTCGAACTCTTTCTAAATTTATTGTTATCCTGATACTTACTTGTTTCATGTTATTCAGTATTTACGTCACAAATCGAAATAAAAATCATCTTGATCTAATTACTATAGAAGGAACAGGCACAGAACTTTATGATTTTGGTGTTAATGTTGTTGTATTTAAAAATGTTTTTATTGATCCATCTAAAGTCGTTGGTGCAATTGGAGGCGAAGATCCTATGAAAGTCGCTAACCAACCAGAATCTTATGAACTCTTGGAATTTCAATATGGATTTATCAAAACTAGTGTTAAGCCAAATATAAAAAAGTTAGTCAAGGCACTATTTTAATTTATCCTAATACTTAAGGTTTTAGATTTATTCATTTAATCAGTGTACTTATCAATCTATAATTTTTCATATTAAATGCCTATCAGTGTAAATGTTTTTAGCTAATGGTGGTACCAGCATTTCTAGATTTTTAAATCTTCTATATTTATCTCTGAGGTGATGATGAGTTGAATATGTGGTCTACATTTTTAATCGCCTACAATGACGGATGTTTGTTATGCTACAGCAATATTTTCAAAACATTGCAATGTACTAGGTTGGACTTGGAATGGTTGTTTGATATGATTTACATCAACTTCTATTCATTGTCACCAGTTCATAAATATCAATGTATAATTTTAGAGATCGAAGTTTTAAAATATAATTTGTATTATCATACATCCAATTTCGTCATTTTATAGGCTTAAATGGATGTCTGAAATGTCTAAGATAAGTTTCGTTTGATCTCTATTGCATTTAGAGTGTATACTGAGGGTTCAGATAATCAGAGATTAAAATTTCTTCTTATTCGTTTATAATGGTCTTTAGGTTCGGGATATTGTAATAATATACCATTCAATTATGTTTGAGCTTATGAACTACACCAGGAAATGTTTTCTTAGAATTTGTTTATTGTCATTTTATACTTGGATATATTATCGTCGTCTGAGAGATTTGCTTACTGCTACCACAATAAGGATTTTTATCACTGTCAGTCATTTACAGGAATTAATTTGATTTTGAGCATAAGACGTTAGTAAAGCTTTATGGTGAAAGTATTAAGAAAGTCATACAGTTGAGATAGGGGAATAGATGGTATAAGTTTTTTTCTCTCAACTGGATTACTTGACTGTGAAGCATTCAATGTCATCCGTGATTAAGCTACTTAACTCAGAGAACAAAACTCGACCTATCTACCCATTTACAGTAATAACAAACTTAAAAAGTTATATAATTACTCCTTGTTAAGATATGACCACACATCATAAGTGATTGGAAAAACTGTAGGTCAGTCACAATCCACTCAATTAAGTGTGCTCCCAAATGCCTTGGCACGGCCGAGAATGGGAAGAATCCGCTCTCCCTCTCGAAATGCTCTCACATGACCACGTGTATACAGCCTCTGCCAGGGAAGTCCTACTCACTGAGTTCTCGCACTACGGGTGTTGTCTGCGAAATCGAGAGGATGAAAAGCGAATGTCTGGCGCTTTAACTGGGTTGATGGACATGGAGAGTCCACCTAGGGGAGTTGGAGAACCCTGATTTAAAACGAATGGTGCACCTGGACTCCATTATCCTGAAGGAAAATGTGGTGTATGAACCAGTTGTTGGTCACCGGCTACCATTGGACTGCATCTCCTCACGATGCTCCACTGCCTTGTGGATCAGATCTTCAGGTCGAAGTCTCCGGGTATGGTCCCCTATGGAAACTACCTGCTTCGGTTTGGGCACCCTGGTAGTATCACAGCCCTCACACATATCAAATGAGATTTGTATGGCGCATATCTATTTGGTGCCTCCTTGTACCAATATCTATGTGTTAAAATAAATAAATATACAATCAAGTGCTTGCTCACGATATCAATACTATTTTCATAATGAAGATCATAGACGGTTCTTACTTATACAACCGTTAAAGACCAGAAAGTACTGGACAACCTAACCATTAGATAACGACCCAGAGATCTGAAAGTTTGAAAATCCTTTATGCGAAATAAAAGTTCTAGATTCTATCCCTTGTGAATGGGTTGTGGTTAAGCACTATCACTAAGGTGTCTCACTCTACGATAGAACATCCATCTGGTACTTCTGAGTTTTTGACAATTATCTAAATACGATAAAACCATGATGCTAACTACAAGAGTTCGACAATTCCCACAAACTCCTATCCTTTAATGATCACTAACATTTTCTGTTTAATCATATTTGTTAAATAATTGAGTTTATTTAATAGAAATAAATAAAAACGACCAAAATAGAACTAATATTAGTTTTAGTATTTTATTGTTATTATTGCAACCATAAATTGACCTCGTTTAGGTTACTTATCATGTCATTGTTTTGTATACATTCAACAAAAACGACTCCATAGTAAACATCAATAATAATGATAATAATAATAATAATAGCTATTGTTATTATTACTGTTAGGGCGTTATTCACTGTTTTATCCTCTTTATCATTATGGTTTATATTGTATAGTTGCACATGGTATATAAAAAAAGTTAGGACATTCTGTTGTTGGACGATAGATCATAGGAGTTGTTTTTTTTAAATCATTTTTTTGCATAAAAAGGCAAAAGGGAGCTAAATTTGACCATGTTTATATGGAATAGATAGTGTGGTTAATAGTGGAGTCCATAATGTCTACTTCGTTCGATCTCAGTACACGTCAGCTGGACCACTTGCTTGTCAGAGTTGGTGCCAGCTAACACGTATTAAAAATCTGTCAAAATATCAAGAACAACAGGATAATCCAAACCATTACAAATTCAATCAGAATTCTTGCCCATTTCAAAAGTTGATAGCTGTTTTGACTCAATGGCTAAGTGGATAACTCATTGACGTTTGAAGCACAGGTAATTAGTTCGAAACTCAGAGCGAACATTAATTCAGACGAAAGTGCACCCACCTGACGAGTCCCAGATAGTATCAAACACGAGTTCTGAACTGAACTACTGGTCACTTTTTATCTGGTTCATATAAACTTGTATTGTAGTGAACAGAACACGAGTGGGAACAATAACACAAAATTACAGCACTTCTTAAAATCTAACAATCAAATAGTAAATACGTAATTTGCAAAATATCCATCACTTGTCTCGTAATGACTCAGACTTCGTTGTCCTTACATTTTCATACAAATTGCATTCTGTTTCCATTCTTAACTGTTCGATCCTCTTGTCTCTCTGCTGCCAAACATTCTGTTCATGACTAACATCATCTATTACTTATGTCAATATAAGTAGTACACACCACAGTATCATAATGGCTATATCAAGGTGACCCGTACGATATGCTTACAAATCCCTACTAAGATTGATCGGTATTCGGTCAAACAACCAACAAATTAGTAATCTAAACCGCCACAAGTTATATCTTGATTTGATAACGGCTTATTTTGCGAATGATTACATGATTACGTATAATGATTTCCAGCTCGTCCTTTTTGATGATGACTAATGTGTCGTCCACATAACGAATTCAAATTTTTGGCTTGATCACTGGTAAGATCAAGGCTTCTAGTCTCTGCATCACTGCTTCTGCAATAAATCCTGATATTGGTGATCTCATCGATGTCCGTTTTGTTTGTTCGTGAATTCTGTTGTTGAATTGAAAATATGTTGTTAAGCATAAATCGATGAGTTCTAGTAAACTTTGACTTTAAAATTTCATTTACTTTGCAAGTACACGAAGAAATAACTAGATTGTTACTAGCAACGGAATCCAGAACATACGTTTCTTTCTATTTAGGAGTTATTGACTAAATGTACCCATGTCCATGTTCATATTCACTCTGGGACTCGAACCCAGTACCTTTTACTTCAAACACTAACACGTTATCTACTAAATTATTAAGTATCAATATAACTACTAATGCGGTGTGCACTACTTGTGAGGACATATATAAGTAGCATATAGCAGGGATTAGTAGTGGAAAGCGTAACGTTAACGAGAAGAGGAAAGGAAACAGACAGAAACTGGAATAGCAACAAATAAATAAATAATTTAGTAAAGTTAGATATTGATTAGCTGTGGGATCTGTAACAAACGTTTCGTCCTGCCCTCGCTTAACACAACGCAGCTATTCCTACTGCTTAAAAATCTTGGACACCAATTCACTCGACAAGTCCCGAAATCAGAATACGGTTGCACAGGAAAGAGATTACATTCCAAATAGCAAGGTTAGATGGAGGCAAGAAGCACAATAGGAAAAACGTTAGTATATTTATAGTTTTTACATGAGAAGATTTCTAGAGTCTTCTCCAAGTATCGCCAATCAGCGTGCATGCTTACTTACTTACGCCTGTTACTCCTCGTGAAGGAGCATAGGCCGATCACCAGCATTCTCCATTCAACCCTGTCCTGGGAAATCCTTTAAAGCTCCTCCCAGTTCCTATTCATCCTTTTCATACCTGCTTCTATTTCTCGACGCAATGTGTTCTTTGGCCTTCCTCTTTTCCGCTTCCCTTCAGGATTCCAAGTTAGGGCTTACCACGTGATACAGTTTGGCGATTTTCGTAATGTTATGTCACATCCATTTCCATCATCTTTTTTTAATTTCCTCCTTAGCTGGAAGCTGGTTTCTCCTCTCCCACAGAAGACTGTTTCTGATGATATTCAGCCAATGGATGTTGAGTATCTTACATAGACAACCATTTATAAATACTTGTACCTTTTAGATGATGGTTGTATTAGTTCTCCAAGTTTCAACTCCGTACAGTAGAACTGTCTTGACGTTCGTATTAAGGATTCTGACTTTAATGTTGGTTGATAGACAGTTGTTTTGAGTTCCATACGTTCTTCAATTGTAGGAATGCGACCCTTGCTTTGTCAATCCTCGCCTTTACATCTGCATCTAATCCTCCTTGTTCATCAATGATGCTTCCTAGTTACATGAAAGATTTCACATCTTCCAGAGTTTCGCCATCAAGAGTGATTGGATTGCTGTTCTCCGCTTTGAATTTGAGGACCTTGGTTTTCCCTTTGTGTATGCTGAGGCCTACTGATGCAGAGACTGCTGCTACACTGGCTGTCTTTATCTGCATTTGTTTGTGTGCATGCGATAGGAGGGCTAGGTCATCTGCGAAGTCCAAATCGTCTAATTGATTCTGAGCTGTCCATTTTATGCCGTGTTTTCCCTCAGATGTTGAGGTTTTCATAATCCAGTCGACCACCAGAAGAAAGAGGAAAGCAGAGAATAAACAGCCTTGTCTGACTCTGGTCCTTACTTGGAATGCATCTGTCAGCTGTCCTCCATGAATGACCTTGCACTGTA